ATTCCCTCTCCAGAGGAGAAGCTGTCCTCTGATTTTTAAAGAAGAGGGAGCGAAAATGGGCTCGGAGTTACAATTATTTGCGATATTGCCACTCAGTTTTCGAAATAAAATTAGCCTCCCAACTCAATAATTGAGAGATGGCGGGTCAATTTGTATCATTATCACATGGGATTTCATAGAAAGGTGAGACAAAATTTTGGGTTTCTTATTACTGGATGAGAGTGGATCTGTTTTTTTTTTTTTTTTGGATATTTTGTGAAGATTGTTTAGTATATTGGAGAGGAGATACCATGGCACGAGGTAAGATTTTATGTAAATTTTAAATTAGATTTTTATATAGGAAATTTCTTCATGTACTTGCTTATAGAAAAGTTTTGAAATTTAAGAACAATTTTCAAGACTACAAGACATTTCTTCATATTTTGTTGCTTGAGTCCCACTAGGAGCACACCTCTAACCACACCTTCAACCACATTCCCTCTCTCTTTATAGTGGTAGTGGGCCATGCATGATATTTAAAAAAAAATAACATGTAGGGCCCACTACCACTATAGAGAGAGTGTGTGTGGTTGGAGGTGTGTCTCTATCATTATTTTTGTTGCTTATGGAAAACTTATGATGAGGATCATTAAAAATTCATGTGGGCCTCAGTGCACTGTACGAGAGAGGAGTGTGGTTGGGGGAATGGTTTAAGGTGTGACTGTAGCGCCTCTCTAAATAGTTTGTGAACCTTTTTTTCCCCTCCTTTGTTCCATGTGACATCAATGTCTCTCTTCACAGGGGAATGTAGGCTGTCTAAAAATCACAATAGATAGTTGATCCCCCATCAAACACCGAGGATGGAAGTTACAATCTGACGACTTCCAGAAGGCTACAATTTGAGGACTTTCACGTAGAAGGTTACAATCTGACGACCTTCACAACAACTAATGAAAGCCCCAATTCAACAGCCTTCACAATCAACATCGGGAGTTACAATCTGACGACTCTCGTATTTTTAAGGAGCCAAGACGAAGATTACAAGAGGACGATCTGTGCAAAGCTCTAGCAAAAGAGATTACAAATTGACGGTCTCTTCATATTAGAACGCAGATATCTCTCAAACCGTAAGGAATTTGGCGAAACGGAGAAAGCAAACCGAAGCCTTTGGCTCGGTTCGGATGGCCCCGTCTCGTCGAGATAGCCGATTTTCATATATAATTCGTCCAATTCCGACGTACGGTTTGAAAGTTATGACATGTTCTTCGTAACAAGTTATGTTCTGAAGTCCGTCTGCAAGACTGGACTTCATCAGAACATTGGACTTTAAACAGGCTCAACTCTGCGTTTTCAATCTAGAAACGCAGAGTTAATCTTTAAAACAGCACAACTGTGCGTTTTCAGCCTTTAAACAGGCTCAACTCTGCGTTTTCAATCTAGAAACGCAGAGTTAATCTTTAAAACAGCACAACTGTGCGTTTATGGGCTCAACTGTGCGTTTTTAGCCTGAAACAGGCCAACTGTGTGTTTACAGGTCAACTGTGCGTTTATGGGCTCAACTGTGCGTTTTTAGCCTGAAACAGGCCAACTGTGCGTTTACAGGCCCAGCTGTGCGTTTTCAGCCTCAGCTGTGCGTTTTCAGCCTCAACTGTGCGTTTTCAGCCCAGCTGTGCGTTTTTCAGCTCCAGCTGTGCGTTTTCAGCCCCAGCTGTGCGTTTTTCAACCTCAACTGTGCGTTTCAGGTCCAGAAACGCACAGTTCGAGCCCAGAACGCTGTTTTCAGCGTTTAACTCGTTCAAGCACGATTTGAACGGTTCCAGAACCGTTTTCTCCCCAAGATTTTAGGGGATCACTACCCTATCATGGAGAGATTTATGGGGAGCAGTTAGACCCCATTAAACCCTCATTAAGGAGATATTTAAGGGGGCGGTTATACCCTTAACCCCCTATAAATACCTCAAAACTCAACTGAGTTCGGATCCTCTTTTTTTTTGGAGGGGGGAGCTGACTTTTTGGGGATCCTTGATCGAGCATCTTGCCGCGTTCTGCAGCAACAAGGAGTTTTGGAGACCAGCAACAGGAGCTTCTTCCTTGGCTTATTAACCGAACTTTCGGTTCAAATCAACTCTTTTTCAAGAGTTCAAACTCGTTCAGAGTTATCAACTCGATCAGAGTTCAAAACTTGCTCTGCAAGTTCTTCTAAAACTCGATCAGAGTTCAAAACTTGCTCTGCAAGTTCTTCTAAAACTCGTCAGAGTTATCAACTCGATCAGAGTTCAAAACTTGCTCTGCAAGTTCTTCTAAAACTCGTTCAGAGCTATCAACTCGTTAAGAGTTATTTTCAAACTTGCCACGCAAGTTCTCCACAGCGTCAAATCGTGAGGAGAAGACATCGTTCCAGTGAATCAAGACGTTCGGATCGTCAACGGAGAGCAAACTCGACGCGAGCATTCGAGGGAGGCACTCCATCGCCACCGTGAAGAACCCAATTTTAAATAAAGGGGAGAATCAAATTTATTCTCCTCTCTTTTGTAATCGGAATCCAAATTGTAATTGATTTTGAGAGGAATACAAGTTAATTTTTCTTTCATTGTCTTTTTACTGCAAATTTTCCAACAAACAGGGAAATATCGTTATCATGTGTTTATTTATCTAAAACATATCTTGAACTTGTAACCTTTTATCACCACACAAATTGATGCCTTCTATAGCATCTCAAGTTCCTATCGAACTCATGATTTATATTTATCTAAAAAAAGAGTTTATGTGCAGGTGTAAACCTAATGATATGAAAAGTCTACCGCTCAATTAGCTTCATATGGAAACATATAAATAACCACCTACCTAAAGTTTTCATCACATGACAAGAATAAAGAGGAAGGGTACAATTTGGAGGGGTTGACCAAACCCAAAAGAAGATAGATGAAGGAACATGGGATGATAAAAAAAAGTTTGAGGAAATTAGATGCAAAGCAAAATTTGGTTCGTGACAAGGGGTGGTGGATATTATAATTAGGTTGCAAATAGTTTTCAAATTTGTTGGTTGGTTGGTTGGTTGTTTGTTCCCCTTTCCTTCTCACAACTAGAATCTAGTTGGTTTTATTTTGTAATTTTGAGCAAGGATTTGTTCATTTGATTTTCTTTCTAGAGTTTGGCTTTGTACACTATTGATTGGTTGCTCTCATTGAATGTTGCCCCGAAAGAAGTTGATGCCTCCTAACATTAGTTTAATGCATTTATGTAAAAGCATTTGGCCATCAAGATATTCGACAAGATTTTTAATTAATTTTTATTTTATTTTATCACGCAGCACGGAAGTGATAACCTCGGAATCCACCAATGGTGTTCTCTGAATCCACAAAGAACGATCTTCAAATCCACGAAAAACTTCGAATCCACGAAGAAAATAGTAAAAGAAAAATTTTATTGATGAAAAGTTATAATTCTTTGGGGTTACATGACTCTTCTTAAATAGAAAAACAAATAAGACTACTAGTAAGACTAAAATTACAAAAAAATAGAAAGTATCAAATTTTATCCTAAAAAGACTCCCTATAATAAAGGAAACGAATCATGAATCAAAATTGAATTTGTTTCCTAATCTAATTTGACTCTAAAATTAAATTTATTTTTTTTTTGATCGAATAAAATTAAATTTATTTCCTAATCTAAATAGACCCCAACTTTATTACTAAAAAAAACTAAAGGCTGATTATTTTCAGATTTCAGCCAAAACTGAATGTAACTGATGAGATTTTAAAAATCTGATAATCTAGTTTGCTTTGTCTCATCGAGATAGGTGATTTACATATATAATATGTTAGAATCCGCCTTCTCGGTTGGAAAATATGATCTTTGTGGATGTCAATACTACGTATAAATCTGTACGTATTTAGCTCGTGAGTATCTACATCCTCCATGAAATTGTCAGTTAAACATCCTACAACATTTTATGAGGGAGAGATGCTCAATTTATTTTCATTAATATAAAGACGCCTGTCACTAGATAAAACTTGATTAGAGACAAGAAAACATCAAAACAACTCATATTTGTGAATTGGAAGAGGACCTCGTGGTCACCAGTTACATATGAATCATAGATGTTTGATGTAATTTAAATCCTTAATCAAAACTTTCTCTCATGCAAGCTGAACTGTGCTAGAGCTAACACACCTAGCTCTAAAACTTAGTATATTGTTCAAAACTTAATTAAAAGAAGAAAAAAAAAACACATATAACCATAAGAACACATCCAAAAAACAAAACCCGTTGTGGCTCAAAAGTTCTCCCGGACTTTATCATTCTTTGGCAACCTCTTGGATAGATGCATTTTTTTTTTCTTGCTCGGATTGCCTATATAGAGCACGACGAAATGTGAAATATTAGAAGCAAACTGCTAAGGAGATGTTTCAACTTCATTGAAAGTTAAATTGTTTCGTGTCCATCTTAGGCACCAAGTAAAAGCAGGAAAAAACATTGTTGTATCCTAATAATTACCGGGCCTAAATAATCTCTTAAGAGTTGGCTGCATGTCATAATTAACTAGCCTAGTCCTATAATATGAAAGTCTAATCCGGGTGAGAGCACCTCCGATTTCTCTAGCAGTTTGAGTCCGAGACGAAAGACATCCTTAAATGTCGGCCTCTTAAAGAAATTCGAGTTCGAGACAAAAGATGTTTTCTACTAGGACTTCATTAGGAAACGTCTCGAATGATTACGTAATGTATAACATTCGCTGCCTAGTCGCCATCACATTTAATGCATGGATAGACCGCCTAGTCACCATCGCATTTAATGCATGGACAGAGTCATTATGTCTTCTCGAGCCGAGACCATAATGACTCCTTGGACGACACCATCACTGATGACACCATCACTTCTTCCATTCTGTCTCTATTGCATTAAACTCAAAGATGACCCATGCAACCTGTAGGCGTCGAAAAATGCTTGCAGACATCCAAATACCACTCAAAACAATATGGGAGAACAATTTACACGTCATCAGGCAACACAAGGTGGCGCGGCAGCCCATGGCGTTGCGTCTAAGGCGCGACAGCACATAGTGCCGCGGCTAATGCGCGACAGCACATAGTGCCGCGGCTAAGGCGCTGCAACCTAGGGTGCCGCGGCTATGTTAAAGGAGTGCTGTGGCGGTTACAAGGCAGTTATATGATGATTTTTTGAGGCCTACGTGGCAGCTTATCAGAAATAGAACGTGTGCTGACGTGGACAAGCAGTTAAACCACGAAAAAAATGGTTAAAGGTCGTGGGAGAACGGTTTTAAGCAGTTAAACCATAATGACTCCTTGGACGACATCATCACTGATGACACCATCACTTCTTCCATTCTGTCTCTATTGCATTAAACTCAAAGATGACCCATGCAACCGACCATCAATAGGAGTAAAGTGCAGTCTGACAGACTCATTGCACTGACCCGGTCGAATTACTAACATGCCCCCCCCCCTAAAAAAAAATCTCTATAAATAGTGGATAATCCCATTATACAAAAGTACAATGAATAAAACCCTAACTGAGTTTGGATAGAGTTATTCAAGGGGGAGGAGGGTGAGGGAGGGAGAGGTTTATAATGCTAACCCTAGTAACATTGTATTTATGTACACTTTTTAGTTAGCAATGGGGTGGGGGGATGAAAACCAAAAGACGTTCTTTCTTATTTTATTAAAAAAACATACTCGTCAAGTAGCTCCCCTCCCTTCCCATCCCCTACTCCAAACAAATGCATATTACAGTGTACCCTCCCATCCTCTCGTTGGCTATCCAAACACAAATGAATACATTCCACCCTTTTTATTTTCACTCTCTCACATTGGGTTTAAGTCAAACACTCCCATTCCTTCCCCTCCTTTGCATCCAAACTGACCCTAAAGCTAGATTCTGCAAGCTTGGTTAATCTATTACTGACTTGAATGTCGGAGGGCACTGGGGGTGAATATCCTCCTGCTCTCTAAAGAGAGTTACTTATGTCTTCCTGATTAAAAAGGCATCTCTAAAGGGTGTAGACGGTCTGACCTTCACTTGGTTAGCCAGGTATGCTGTAGCATTTAAAACCATGTTTCGATCCGGTTTTATTTTAATTATTTCACATTGAAGAATATTTAGTGTGCTACTAGGCTTTGGATTTTATTTTCTTTAAGATTAGTTGCACATTTCCTCTCTGACATAGCGCTTTCGGACTCATTTTGCCTCTAGTTTGATTTTGGACGGATATATTTTCTTCTGAGTGAAAAATTTTAACTGCAAAATACAACCTTCATGGGTATCGAAGTTAACTTATTTTAGACTATTGGGTATTTTTTCGCAAAAAAAACAACCTTCATGGGTATCAAAGTTAGCAATGATGTAAGCTTTTGGGTATTTAACTGCAAAATAACCCCGACCCAGAATTCCAAGTAATGAACAATTGGACATTCGACGGGTTAGCAATCCGGATCTAATTATACCCGAACCCGACCCAATAAGCAAAAGTCACGCGTCGATCACGTGCACTGTTTGCGCTCCCTCCCCCCCTAAGTTTCCATTCTGAGGCTCTTCCGTGTCTCTACGAATTCGGAAAAATCTCTCTCTCTCTCTCTCTCTCTCTCTCTCTCTCTCTCTCTCTTTCTCTCACTAGGGTTTCTAGGGTTTAAGCAACCAAAAAAAGAGGTGAATTCTCATTGCATTTCGAACATTTCTACAGGTATTCAACGTTGATCTTTTCCAATGGATCCCATTCCATTCATACCTCTGTTTTTTTTCATCAGAATTTTTCGTTGTATTTTTTAAAATTTTTTTTTTTGCCATTTTGATAGACTAGTTTAATTTTCATGTCAAGTTTGTTTTTTGGGGCTTGGGTTGATCATTGTTTGGATAAACTCTGTTTTCCATTGAGGAAAGCGGTCAACTTTGAGGGTTTTGCTGGGGTTTTTCTCGTTTCTTGATTTTCTTCAACTTTTCAGGTTAAGGGTTTTTGGAGTTTAGAATGTGACTTATTGATGCAACGCGCGGTCTTGAGCTTCTGTGGATGCGTTGGAGGTTGTTGATTTTAGTATTTGTAGTACGATATTTCTTTCCTTTTTTTTAGTGGAATTTATTGCATCACTCTTTGTAAGTTTTACTTTGTCGATTAAGATTATTTTGTTATAGAAAATATTTATTATCTGTGTATTTAAGGGGTTAGTTCTTTGAAGATGGAAGCTCACAAATGTACTTAGATTGGGATCTATGTTGCACGGGTATGGGTGCGGGGTGGACACGCATGCGAGTGAGGATACGGGACATTGCATATTTGTAAAATGTATGATATGATATGGAGATCGACATGGCTATATATATATATATACTTATTGAAATTAATAGTATATATGAGATCGCTATTAATTTTGTATTACGTATTACGAGAACGAAAGTCCATCTAACTTTTTTATGTTTCTTTTACTGAGTAGATTATAAATTGAAAATCTGGCTACTTTTAGACTAGATATCCAAATTATTGTTTAAAATCATACTTATGTTATGAACATGATAAAATGCGGCCTGAAATGAATGTATATTTTGAAAAAGATGATTATAATCCAAGAAGTGTGATATTATATATATATATATATATATATTATATATATATATATATTCATATATATGGAAAGTGAATTAAGGTGACACCCTAGGCTCTTACCTAAGGACGCGGCCTAAAATCACATATTCCCTATTTTTTCTTTGCGATCCGTCGTTTAAACTCTGATGTACAGTTCTTAAACCTAAACAACCAATTTTCGGGGTGAACCCGTCATGTTTTGCCTTCATCCACTCTTCACACAATTTATAACGGTTTTCGAATGAATTTAGAACTTTTTGATGACTCACGAATCGTGCAAAAACACGACGGGTCACCTCAAAATTAGTCGTGTTCTGAGTTTCAAGAACGTGTAGGATCAAGTTCAACGGAGCGGATCGTAAAAACTATAGAGAATGAATGTGATTTTAGGCCGCGTCCTTAGTGGGAGCCTAAGGGTGTCACCTTAGATTCACTTTTTCCATATATCCATATATTATATATATATATGTATATATATACTAGTGTATATATATTTTATATATAATATATATATATAATATATATATGTATATTATGATCTATAATATATATATAATATATGTATGTATGTATTGACATGGCTGAAATGAATGTTATTATATATAATATATATATATATATATATATATTATATATATATTATATAAATATTATATATATATATATATATATATATATATATATATATATATATAATATATATATATATATATATTATATTCATAAATGTATGTATATACTCAAGAAGTGTCCAAGAAGTGTGTCCGGCACGTACATGGATATAGGAGCCAAGGTGAAGTGTCCGAGTAACCTAGATTGTGATGATTGCATCTTCGTGTTTTGTTGCATATTGAAAAAGTGCGTTCGGTAACATAGGATAGTATAAATGAAGGTTCTTATATGGTAAAAATCACAATCATAAGTCACCGCTATTTGCATGAACTAATAGGCTGCCAAATATGAAGATACGTCGTGTCATGTAATTGAGAATGCTTATAAGCCATCCGTGATGGTTTTAGAAGGATATCATTACAGTCATCCTTTTTTCTTCCAAATTGTAGTATGTGGTCCTATTTTGTTAACTTTGATTAAATATGGAAACAGGACAGTTAATTTGCTCAGGATAAGGACATAATATACATCAGTTTGGTGTCATTTCATTTTCTTGCATATTGGTAGACCTTATCGATCATTTTTCAATCAAGTAATTCTGTAATCACGAATAATGTTATTTAGGTTCAGTAAAGTTTGGGTTTTCATTTGTTCATTTGTTTGTGTGTGCATGCACTTTGACTTTGCGTGGTATGTTAAAGTGGTCACATGTTTGTCCAGACTTGACTAATCAAGTTATTACTACTAGAATTTGTCTGTCAATGTAACTATATTTGTTTAAGAAGGATGAAACACTGATCTTTGATCAATATTATCAAGACTGATATATTCATGGATGGTGCTCTTACATCTTTGGACATTTGTATAGTACAAATGCTTTTCTATCTTGGCATTTTTGAAGGTTTCTTTTGTTCATGTGGGATTTGATGTACATATCAGTTGTCCAGGTTATTGCGCCATAAACCATGTTTCCTTGGAATTCGGATTATTTTATTCAACATATGTTGAATCCTCACATGCACTTATATGCAGTTTGGCGAGGGTTAAGCGAGGAGGATTATATGGAAGGATTAACTTAGTTAACCCAGAATGAAGGGTTAAAAATGCTTTAATTACAGTTAGATTTGATAGCTATGATGAAGGGCTAAGGTTTTTGTGTTTCACAAATAAATAAGGGTTAAGGAAGTTAATATCCCTAATTTTTCTAGAAATGCAAACTTTAACCTTATGGAAATGACAATATCTATTGCTCAATGTTTTCTAGCCAAGACATGCATAGAAAGAGGGCTAAAAAGATATCTTATTCCCAAAGGAATACTTTTTTGTTAAGAGCCATCTAGGCATATCAACTTATTTCTTCATTCTCTATAACATAATATTACTTGCATTATTAAGGTAGATACTAAATTATATTAAGTGACACACTAGATAAATATATTGGATGAGTTTTTCTTCCCAGTTGCTTCCATATATTTTTTGTCAGTTATCTCCAATTACTGAACTAATTTTTATCAAATCTAGAGTTCATGGGATGCGATTAAGCCCCTGAAGAGGGATTTTTTCAAGGCATAAGTCTGTTTCCATGGACAGGCCTAAGCCATTGGACTCTTGTTTCCGGCTAATAATCAAACAGTCTTTTACTATGTAAAAAGGCATTGTTTTGCATATTTTTGTAAATTCCACTCTTTACCCTGCCAGAGGAGGCGGAATAACTTTTTGTTCCGCCTCCTCAGGCGGAATTGTAAACCCGCCTTGTGATGGGTTAAGTGAGGAAGTTGCGTCACATGCGGGTTAATATATCCGATGGAAGTATTTGTTGTTTGGAAGGCTAATGAGGGGTTAAACCCCTTAATCCCTCGCTAACATCTTGCTACGAGTGCCCTTAGGCTCTGGGCGCTATTTAATCTATAAATTTCCTCAAATTCTTACTTATTTTCCTATTTATTTAATCTGTCTTTTTGACCTTGGTATATCGCTTGACTGATTTTGTATGCTTTAAATCTAATCCAGGACCTTTGATTTAGAACGTGAACCTGGATTTTTGCTTACCAGGAGAAAGAGAAAGATGGACCGATCAGCTTCTTGTAGAGATTCTGCTACAGCAAATAGAGGAGGCAGCAAATATACTTATATTCCTTCAAAAGGTGAACTTGAAGAGAGGGAGACACTCAGGAAAAGTAAGAGGGTAAGGTACCCAGACCATCACCGAAATGATAGTTTTGCAGAACCATCAGGGCGGAGGTGTTTTTCTCATGAGAGACTTCCCGGAAGGCATGAAACTGACTCCAAACGTGGAGGGGAACATGAACACTCGAGAAGTAGCAGAGCTTCTCCTAATAAGGGAAGATATCAGGGAGGCACAGCAATCAAATCTGCTATTCATGTGCTGGAAGATGAATCAAGAGAGAGCATTTACCAAAGGGATTCAGATGCATCTTTTGGCCAGAGACAACCTCATCGGGACACCAATGTTTCTTGTAGGTACTTGGGAGAAAGCCATTACCACCAGGTGGAAGGTTACAGTTCCTCTCCTCAGGGTATGCGACATAACCGAGCAGATCGTCAATCACGTGATTATAAAGATGGCTATAGTGTTAAACATGACAGTGGTTTATCAAGGAGTGGTTTAAAACTCTGGGATGAAATAACCGCTAATGATGCTCGTAGATCTTTGAAAGGGAGGTCCCACGATGATAAAAGGAGCAGTCCTAGGAAACATCGTAAGAGTTTATCACGGAATGAGCCAAAACGGGATGAGGAAACAACTGATAAGGGTGCACCGAATTCTACTAAGACGTCAAACAAGGTCAGTTGGGGTAATAATATAGAAAGTGACAGTAGGTTGTCCTGGAATGGACCAAAATGGGGTGAGGAAACCACTTCAAAGAATTCACCAACTTTCTCTAAGTGGGGTGAGGAAACCACTTCGAAGGATAACTATGTTTGTGACAAGGAACCTGATAATTGTTCACCATGCAATGGTCCAAACTGCGGTGAGGAAACAAATAGCAAGAATGCCCAAAACTCCCAGTGGAAGTCAGTTGCTAATGATCGAGATCCTAATGTGGAAACTGACAACAATTTATCATGTACTGGTTCAAAGTGGGGTAGTAAAGCAAATGTTAAAGATGCACCGAGTTCATGGGGATTACCTACTACAAAGTGCTATCCTAAGGAACTTCACAACACGTCATCATCATTGAATGATCAAACACATGACAAAACATGGGATCATAGACAAAATACCAAGGAAGCATCTTCTTCATCTAAGCACATATCAGATGATAAATGGGGTTATAATGTGAAAACTGATAATAGCTCATCATGGTCTAAGTGGGGAGATGAAACCACCACCAAGGATGCACCTAATTCATGGAGGTCATCTAGTACTAAGAGGGATTCTAAGAAAACTAACATTTCATCATCGTATGATCCAAAATGGGATGATAGAGCATCTGGGAAGAATGCAGCTGGTTTCTCTCAATGGAAATCAGATGATGATAAATTGGGTCCTAATGTGAAAACTGACAATAGTTCATCATGGCCAAAGTGGCCTGACAAAGCAACCACCCAGGATGGGTCAAATTCATGGAGATCATCTCCTGCTAAGAGATTTCCTAAGGAAACTAACGACCATTCATCATGGGATGCTCCAAAGTGCGATGATAGAGCTACTGCCAAGGATGTACCTAGTTCCTCGCAGTGGATATCAAAAGCTGATAAATGGGGTTCTAATGTGAAAACTGATAATAGTACATGGCCAAATTGGGGCGATGGAACTACTACCAAGGATGAACCAAGTTCATGGAGACCATCTACTGCTCAGTGGGATTCTAAAGAGACTAGCAACAATTCATCACGTAATGTTCCTAATGTGAAAACTGACAATAGTTCATCATGGCCAAAGTGGCCTGACAAAGCAACCACCCAGGATGGATCAAATTCATGGAGATCATCTCCTGCTAAGAGTTATCCTAAGGAAACTAAAGCAACCACCCAGGATGGATCAAATTCATGGAGATCATCTCCTGCTAAGAGTTATCCTAAGGAAACTAATGGCCATTCATCATGGGATGCTCCAAAGTGCGATGATAGAGCTACTGCCAAGGATGTACCTAGTTCCTCGCAGTGGAGATCAAAAGCTGATAAATGGGGTTCTAATGTGAAAACTGATAATAGTACATGGCCAAATTGGGGCGATGGAACTACTACCAAGGATGAACCAAGTTCATGGAGACCATCTACTGCTCGGTGGGATTCTAAAGAGACTAGCAACAATTCATCATGTAATGTTCCTAATGTGAAAACTGACAATAGTTCATCATGGCCAAAGTGGCCTGACAAAGCAACCACCCAGGATGGATCAAATTCATGGAGATCATCTCCTGCTAAGAGTTATCCTAAGGAAACTAACGACCATTCATCATGGGATGATCCAAAGTGCGATGATAGAGCTACTGCCAAGGATGTACCTAGTTCCTCGCAGTGGAGATCAAAAGCTGATAAATGGGGTTCTAATGTGAAAACTGATAATAGTACATGGCCAAATTGGGGCGATGGAACTACTACCAAGGATGAACCAAGTTCATGGAGACCATCTACTGCTCGGTGGGATTCTAAAGAGACTAGCAACCATTCATCATGTAATGTTCCAAAATGGGATGATAGAGTAACTACTGATGACGCACCTGGTTCCACGCTATGGAGATCAGAAGTCGATAAATGGGGTTCTAATGTGAAAACTGGCAATAGCTCTCTTTGGACAAAGTGGGGTAGCGGAACTACCGACAAGGATGAACCAAATTCATGGAGATCATCTACTGCTAAGAGGGATTCTAAAGAAACTAACAATGATTCGTCATGGAATGCTCCAAAATGGGATGATAGAGGAACTACCAAGGAGGCACTTGGTTCTTCGAGATCAAACATTGATAAATGGCGTTCTAATGCGAAAAGTCACAATAGTTCGTCATGGCCAAAATGGGGAGACGAAACAACTACAAATGATATACATAATTTTTCCAAGTCAGGGACTCATGCTGATGACAGACAGGGTTTATTGTGGCCAAGGTGGGGTGCCGGCACAACTAACAATGATACACAAAATTCCTCTCAACAGAGGAGAAATGCTGACAGGCAGGGTTCTGATGTGAAGACTGACAACATTTCATCGTGGCCAAAGTGGGGTGATGATGCAGCTAATAATGGTAGGCAGGGTTCTAATATGAAAATTGACAACAGTTCATCATGGCCAAAGTGGGGTGCAGATTCAACTAATAATGATGTACGCAATTCTTCTCAATGGAGGGCAAATTATGATAGACAGGATTCTAATGTGAACACTGACTATAGTTCATCAGGGAATGGTCAGAAAAGGGGTGATAAACCAACTGCTGAATATGCACCCAATTCTTCTTGGATGAGGGCAAATTCTCATAGACAGTGTTCTAATGTGGAGACAAATAACAGTTTGACGAGGAAAGGTACAATGTTGGGTGATGATGATAAACGAGCTGCTAATAATATGGAAAATCAGAAACCATCCTGGAATGATCGAAAGCGAGATGGCTACAGAACTACTAAAGATTCACCTAGGTCGTCACGATGGAGGTTTGACGAAGTTAAGCAGGATTACAGTCTCAAATTCAGCAATAATTTCTCATTCAATTGTCCTAAATGTGATGGTCAAACAATCACTAAGAATTTTCTAAATTCTTCTCAGTATCAGTCATATAGTGAGAGAAAGCAGAATGATGTGCATGCTAATAGTAGGTTATCACAGACCGATTCAAAATTGGGAGATCAGAACATGCTACATGAAGCTTGTCAAATGAGTTTACCTGCTAATGAACACAATATAACTCAGGAAACCTCTCAAAAGGTCCAGCACATTCTGAAAACATCTCAATGTCCTTCAAGTAACTACAAGCCCACTGAGCAGAGTGGAAAGGATAAGCATTATTTAAGAACTGGGCACTATTGTAGTCATCAGGTAATATTTCAAAATTCAACCTAATGTTCCATTTTCTGCAATATATTGATTGTTTTTTGGAATAAATGTCAAGTTCACAACTCTGAGACTAAATATCTCATGTATTTATATTTCTCTGAAAAGTTGATTCTTGTTTAGTATTATTTTAATTAAAACCTTCCTACATCTCTGCTGCAGGTAGGAAGAAGCAAAAAATCGCTGAAACCCTTCACTGATGAGGCCTCTGCAGGTACTCCAGTGGTGCTTATTGAACCCAGTTCAAGGTCTCCATCAACTGAACCTATCATCTCAGATTCCAGTAATTTGAAACATCCAAATGTGTCCAAGGAATCTCAGATATCTCCAAAGAGTTTGGCTAGCATTAACACACTTCCAAGCTGTAGTAGTAATTTGGAAGGAAAACTTCAGCATGGAAAAGAGCAACAAAATACTTCCAGATCCAATGTCAGAGATCATGACATGATGGAAGTTGGGAATGTTAACAAGGAAGATGAAAAGGGGATACAATTATTCAAATTTGCGCTTGTGGAGTTTGTGAAGGAAATATTAAGGCCATCTTGGCAGGAAGGTCATTTGAGTAAAGGAGCTCACAAGACCATAGCGAAGAAAGTTGTTGATAAGGTGACTGGTACTTTACAGGGCAACAACATCCCTCGAACACAGGGAGATGTTGATCGTTATATTAACTCCTGCAGGACGGAACTAACCAACCTTGTACAGGTGAAGTCAGTTGTATTCCTTTCCATTGTATTCTTTTGCTCCAGTTTGTATTGATAAAATTTAGATTTTGTTTCTTGCAATATTCACTCCGCTCATTTGTTTTATTCAGGCTTATCTTCAAATATACGCAGGAGTCTGATCTGGTGCCTGTACCAAGATGTTATCTGTGACGTGTTTTTGTCAATATGGTGCTAGTGTCTTTTCTCTTGCAAACATATTGCTTTGGAATTTCATGGTTTATTTTCTTTTTAGGGTATTTACACTAGACCCCCATGAACATTCAGTGTTTTGAAGTAAACCCATGAACTTTCAAATCACGCTAAACTCCCAATACCCTTTTGGAATTACATAAAACCCTCAATAACTTGCCGAGTTTTGTAGGTAACCCCCATAAATTAGAATGAAAAAACAACAAAAAGCATTTTGAAAGTTATTGGGGTTTAGTGCGGTTTTGAAAGTTCAAGGGGTTTTAATGCAAAACACTGAAAGTTCATGGGGGTTTAGTGTAATTTACCCTTCTTTTGATTACTAGTAGTGCTTGTTATAGTACATTTTTCTTCATGATGAATTCCAAAATGATCATATTTGTTTCGGATATATTACCGTGATGGTTAACCGGATTATTACTTGATAACAATACCTATATACTAATACATTTTCTTCAAATTATTTTGCATATTTACTTAATAGTACTTATGCATATTGACAATCCTACTGATGTGCTTATCAACCGCAATTTTCTACTGTTTCAGGTGCTGGATGTGAATATGTCAGATTGGGTACTTACTGTACACATAACAGTTGGCCTTGAAGGGCTTCACAGGGGAGGCTCCGTGGTGTTTGTATCATACAAAAGTACAGGAAAGACAGAAATTGATGAAATGCTTAAACCTCATTTTGATTCCTTTTACAGCAAAAACTCATCCATCTGAGAAAGATGCGCCGCTGAAAGTTTCTCTTAATTTCCTCTCATTTTTTGTTCAGTCAGGGAGAGGGCAAATACTTGTTTTCATGTTTTGTTAGTGAAAATTAACAGGGAAGGAAGTGATCTTTTCCTTTACTATGAAGAATTTTCGCCGCATTGCTTGTTTTAAACTGATCTTATTATGGTGTTTCTTGCTGAAAATTGATACCCAGTTAGTAGGTTATCCTACCTTTAGTTTTGTGTGTCAAATTTTCAAAAATTTCACAAATGCCCTTGTATTAAAAAAGAAAAAAACACCTTCACATTTGCGGGGAAACAACAAAAAATACCCTAATATTTGGAACAATTAGTGAAAAGATTCTCATCCTTGCAAGAATTAAATGGAAATGACCTCACATTTCTGTGTCGCACACGCATAGCGTGCACCAAAATATTAGTAATACGATAAAAAGCAAGAAGGGGGAAAAGAAGGGTCAAGATAACCCTTCAGCGATAAAATTTTGAAAATGAAGGGACGCACTTGCAAAAAGGAATCAAGGAATTTTGATAAATTGCTTGAGGAGCGAGGGACGAGGGTACTAAACTGTTCATTGTTATTATGAATTCCACATCATCGTTTGCAGTCGTAGGAAAGGAAAAAAAAAAAATTTTGAAAAAAACAATCACACATAACAATGCGATGACTATAAATAAGTCCATAATAAGTAAACAATAATATAAGGACTTAAGTATAGAAAGACCATTTGTATTTATGTAGTATTATTGGATTTCATAATTTCCCGACTAAAACGTGAAAGACATGAGAGTAGCTCTAATGAACATTATTATTATTTTAACTCTGTTATAAATCATTCAGTTCTCCCCAAAATACCCAATCCATATTTTCGTCTCAAGCTAGTGTACATCCTGTGTAAAGCAGCTCATTTTTTTTTATATTTTTGCTACAGTAATCATTTTTTAAATGTTACAGTAATTTTTAAATGATACAATATCTTATTTGGTGTTATGGTACTGCTGCTAAAATAATAATGCTACATTAATTACTGTAGCATATATAGTAAATCTTTGCATGCTACGTGTAGAGGAGTAGACTCAGGACAAAACATAGAGGGGCATTTTAGGGAGGAAAAAAAAAATCCAATAAGCTTTTTATAAGGGTAAGCAGCGATTTCAATCAAATTGAGCTCTAGAAATTTTGTGGGGAGAAAAGGGATGAAACTTCAGTTGATCTTTTTAGCTGCAGCGATTCTAACCCTAATTTCTTCTGGGATTGGGATCGAAGCTGGATCGTCGGAGGAGGACTATATTCGGCCTAAGCCTCGCAAAGCCCTAAGCTTTCCATGGAAGCCCAAGCATTCTTCTGAGCCACAACAGGTAACTGATTTCAAATACTAATTTGTTTCAATTCCATTGAAATTGAATTGGCTCTACTGTCCTGTGATTAATTCCGTGGTATAGTGCAACTTAGGGACTTAAAATTTTTGATAAGATGTCCAAATTAGTTGGTTTCCGTCGATAGAGTGAAGTATGCGTACATGAAAATTTGCATTTTCACGGGCTATATAATCCATTTTTTTTGTCAATTTTAGTTTATTTCAATCAAATGACAATTAAGTATATTTACTTCGAAATTCATGATTGTCATGGACTATAACTCACGATTTTTGTCAACATTTCGTTCATTTTGACTAAATGATAATTAATTTTAGATACTTTAAATTTCACGATTTTCTATAACCATGACTTTCACTCATTTTGACTAAATGATAACTAACTATGTTATGCGTACTTCAAAATCTACGATTTTTGTCGACTATAACATATGTTTTTTTTATCAATTTTCTTTCGTGTTGACCGAATGAAAGTTAAGTATGTGTAAATAAAAAATTTATGATTTTTATGGTCATTAGCGATCAATTTTTGACAATTTTCTTTCATTTCAACCAAATGACAATTAAGTACGTGTAGTTCAAAATTTGCGGTTTAATGGGCAACATATAATCTGCCATTTTTATCAATTTTTTTGTTCCTTTCAACTAAATGGTGATTAACTACATCTACTTCAAAATTCACAATTTTCATGGGGTTATAACCTATGTTTTTTTTGCCAATTTTCATTTGTTTTGAATGAACAGAAATTGAGCATGTGTACATCAAAATTTATGATTTACATGGTCTTAACCAATGACCTTTGTCAATTTTTGTTAGTTAACCAAACATGAATTAAGTACGCGTGACTTAAAATTCGCAATTTAAGAGGCTATAACCCATAATTTTTGTCTACTTTTATTTATTTTGACCAAATGACTATGAAATATGTGTACATCAAAATTTAAGATTTTCAATGGTTTTAACCAACAGTTTTTTTTTAATTTTTGTTCGTTTCGCCCAAATGACAATTAAGTATTTGTACATAAAAAATTATAATTTTCATAGGCTATATAACTTATAATTTTTGTCAATTTTATTCTTTTTTTATCAAATGATAATTAAGTATGCGTACTCGAAAATATAGATTTTCATAGGCATGTATGATTTTTGTCAATTGTAGTTCATTTTCGTTAAAAGATAATTAATTACGGGTACTGCAAAATTCACAATTTTTTGGACTATACCCTTGATATTTGTTGATTTTTGTTAGTTTTGACAAAATGCAAATTGAGTATGTATAAATCAAAATTTATGTATTTCATGGTTTATAACCAACGATTTTGGTCAATTTTGATTCGTTTTAACCAAATCATACTCCCTTTAAAAGCACGAGTTCGGAAAAATCTTTTGGTAGACAAAAATACCATTAGAATTCAAATACTGATCCATTAAGTAAGAGTGAGTTGATAAGTTGATGAATTCTTATTGGATATACATAGTATGAAGATAAGGATATAGTTTAAATTGAAATGTAACCTGAATGAAAGAGCAGCTTAGGTAAATTAGACGATTTATTAAATACCAAATTTACCCCCTCGCTCTTATATGTGATCAATGATCAAACTGCAAACAATAATTCACGTGCTACATGATTAATAATGCCAATCTGAGAACAATTATTCACATGCTATATGATTAATAATTACACACAACGTGATGATCTCTCACTGACTAAAATTCAAGTAGTTCACGGTACGCTTAGGTTAATTAGACGATTTATTAAATGCCAAATTTACCCCCTCGCTCTTATATGTGATCAATGATCAAACTGTAAATTATTCACGTGCTACATGATTAATAATGCCAATCTACAAATAATTATTTACGTGCTACATGATTAATAATGTCAATCTGCAAATAATTATTCACATGCTATATGATTAATAATTACACACTAAGTGACGATCTCTCACCGACTAAAATTGAAGTAGTTCAAAGTACTGCATAGTTAGTTTCAAAATTAATTATACTATTATTATTTAAATAGAACTCTATTTATAATTATTATCCTCTCACATGCAACATCATATACTAATATATATAAGCCAAGAAATTACAATAATTTCTATAGCACTTTTATCTCCTTCTACAGGCATGTGTCTTTATTATTAGATTAGATTAAATTATTTTAAAGCAATTATTATATTGTATATTTGATCTTTTTTTAGATTAAGAAATTATAATAATTTTCACAGTACTTTTATCTCCTTAAACAAATATGTGTCTTTGTTATTTTCTTCTTATTAGAATATATTAGATTGTTTAAGAATTATGAATTATAAAATTACAACAACTTTCACAGTACTTTCATCTATTTTCTTCTTATTAAATTAGATTAGATTATTTTAAAGTAATTAATTATATTGTATGTTTGATTTCTTTTCAGATCACAAAGTTTAATTATATTATAATTATTTAAATAGATACTGTTTGTACAAAAATCAAAGAGAATCTCACACGTATCTTTGATCTCAATGCCAATTATAATACTTATATATAGGTTTTGGTTAAAATAAATTTTATGTATGGGGTTAACTTATATGATCCTACTATAATCAGATAACATAATTTAACATTTGTTTTTTACACCCAAACTCTTCCATAAAACTAAGAGATTTTTAAAATTAATCTTGGGAGTTGCTTGCATTAAAAATTATGTTAAGAGGGCCCATACAATTTGTTTTATAGTTTAATATTATCAACACATTGTCTCTTATGCATATCAATTATTAGTAACAATATAATTTAATTGATCCAAGTATATCCTAATATATTTCTGGACTCTTATCTTGTCTTTTGCTCTTTATCAAGTACAAACCTAACGATTCTTATTCAATTCCTTCTTTTTTTCTTTTTTGTCTCTTGACATTGTCTTTTGTTCTTCATTATGTACAAACATATTTCATGGATTAGGGTTATGATTTTTGAGGGGGATTCAGCAAAAGACAAATGGATTGATTTTGGTGTTAGACTTTATTATTTGAAGAGATTAATTTTAAGAAATTCAACTCCAACCTGATATCACAATTGATGTAGATGATGAAGACGCTACTCTAGAATTACCCAATAAAAAGATAAAGGTGGAGAAAGATTGATCTTGGCTCAATTAAAATATGAAATAAAAAGAATAAATAATAATATTTTTTTGAACATTTTATACTATAACTTCAATTTTGAGTAAAATTAGGAATTTTTAGAAGGAATTTTTATGCAAACTTTTTAGTATTTTTGTATGTTTATGTGATTGCTTTTATCACATAAAAGTATACTATAGTTACTATTAATCTTTAGTTTTGTCTTTTTATTATTTTAAGTCTATCAAATAATGTAGGCTGAGATCTCATATATATATAATGTTTATCATACTTCTTTTTTTTTATGTTTGCTTTTGAGATTGTTTATTATAAAACATGAGCTTATATCATGTTGAAAAGTGCAGTGTAATTCTATTTTCAATGCAATAAGAAATATTATTTTTTTATTACTAGAACTATAGTTCATAATGATATTGTTATTCATCCTTGATTTCATATTATAGCTTGAGATTGGTAGAGTTTAGAATATGACATGTAGTATCAATTTAACTTATTTTCTTTTACTATTCTGCTTGAAGATATTTTTATGTCAACTGATATCTTTTTCTACGAAAATCAATTATGATATCCCAGTTAAGTATATTGATCCCAGTTTAGTACAAAAATCCATTACATCAATTTTTTTATAATGTTTAAATAAAAATTATAGCAAATCTAATAATTAAAATGAATCTGACTTATTTATAGTGATAAAATAAAAAAGTAAATTATTTTGATATTTAATGCACGTACATAAAAACTAGTGGTAATTAAGTAGGTGTAGTTCAATATTCATGATTTATTAGGCTATAACCCACTATTCTTATTAATTTTCCTTCGTTTCGACAAAATGCAACAAAGTAGGTGTACGTCAAAATTTGCAATTTTCATGGACTACAATGCATAATTCTTTCAATTTTCGTTCATTTTAACCAAATGACAATTGTGCATTTGTACATTAAAATTTGTGATTTTTATGGGCTATAACCCGCGATTTTTGTCCTTTTTTATTTTGACGAAATAACAATTAAATATGCGTATTTCAAAAATCACGATTTTCATGGACTATAACTGATGATTTTTGTCAATTTTCGTTCATTTTGACTAAGCGATAATGGACTATATGTACTTCTAAATTCATAATTTTTGGGAAATTTTCATTCCTTGACTAATTGATAATTAAATGTGCGTGCCTTAAAGATTACGATTTTCGTGGGCTATGCAACACATGATTTTTGTCCATTTTTGTTTATTTTGACCGAATAGAAGTTAACAAGGTTATCGATAGCAGATAACGTTATGTAGCGGTGAGTCATCGCCAAGGCTATTGGGGGCTATTGTGAAAAAATAGCAATAAATAGGTCAAAGTCAAATGACGGTCTAATTTAGATATATATATAAATATTCAAAAAAAATCTAGAAAATCTAAAAGTGCACTTTTGATGATTTAAAGAGATCTTAAACATGAATTAGACATGTAACCGTCATATAATACCAAAGACGATTGGAGGAGACCGAGGAGTCAAAGAGTTGTCTTCGAGAAGATAAGCTGAGCGGTGAGAGGACTACAGTAGGAGGAGCTCACGACAAGAAGAGGTGAGAGGGAGTGCTGAGGGATGAGAGGACTGCAGTAGGAGCTCACCGCGAGAGGATGTGAGAGGAAGTATTGAGGGAGGTGCCGGAGGCTGTGAGAGGCGGTGGAAATACACCAAAAATCACGGGACGAGGTGAGATGTAGTGGTTGCGGGTCAGGTTTAATTTAAAAAAAACTCGAACTGCTTTTAAATAGCGGCCAAAAAGCGGAATTTTACCTGAATTGCATGCTATTTACCTCTATGGCGCGCTATTGGCTGCTTTTTGCGAGCGGAA